TATACAACGTGTAAACGTTTAAACGTTTTTAAATATTAATAGGATACGGTTGTTTACTTTTAAGATGTTCTAAGTGTTGCGTGAATAGGTATTTAAATGAATCTCAATGTGTGCCGCTTAGCGACCTATTAAATTGTGTTTTAATTGTAATTGATATCAAAATGATTACAGCGATAATATTATAATAATAATATATAAGCCTTTATTCAGACAAGATACAATGTTACTTAATCAAGAATATACGTTTCGTAATGAAAAAAATATATAGTTGAATATTTACATTCCCTCGACAACAGGCAAGCTGTGTGCCTTTTTCAATTTAAACTTGAGTTTTTGTGAAGTTAACTGGTTTTATCACCCTTTCGAATCTTCCTAATTGATCGACGTCCGGGTTATAAAGAGCAGCCCTGCGATTCTGTAACTCACTTTTCGAACTCACACAGCGGTTTTCGCATCGGCGGTCGCTCTCAAATCAGTCGTGAAGCAGTCATTTTATGATTTGGCATTCTGAAAAGGTGGGAGCCTGTAGTTTATTGTTTATGGTAACAAAAACATTGTAGAATAAATTTTGTTTGTGTTAAACTGATACAATATGTTTGTATAAAAATATATATTTTAATAATTAGGACAATTTAGTTCTTGATCATATAACCATTGTCAACAAAAAATTCCGATCCTGTCACGCCAACAGCCTTGTCACTTGCCAAAAAAAGTATCATATCAGCGATTTCCACAGACTGCGATACACGCTTCAGTGGCATAGAGTCGGCATAATTATCTATCTTCATATCTGTTATACCAGCGTTATCCAAAATATCGGTTTTAACTGGTCCAGGGCTCACTGTGTTGACTCGTACGCCTTCACCCGCTAATTCCACAGCTGCACAGCGTGTAAAATGGTTTAATGCCGCCTTTGAGACACAGTATGGAGTTATACCTTTCATTCTCGGTGCCAAAGAGGCGGCGACACTTGATATATTGATGATATTACCTTTAGTTTTGACCAGATATGGCGCTGCGAGGGAGGTCACGTTAAGATGCGCTCGGACATTAACTTTCATGGTCTGATCATACATTTCCAAGAAGTTTCTTTCCAAAATAGTCGCATTTCGCGTTATCCCAGCATTGTTGACCAACACATCGAGTTTTCCAAATTTTTTTATGACAGATGCAACAATTTTTTTACATTCTTCGTCGTCGCCTACGTCGGCCTTGATTACCAACGGTTTGGAATATTTGGAACAGTTTTCGGCGGCTTTGTTCAGTTTTTCCACGTTCCTGCCGACGATGGCCACGTTAGCTCCATTTTTAGCAAATTCAATAGCCGTCGCGGCTCCAATACCGGAGCTGGCACCAGTTATAAGCACAACCTTGCCTTTGAAACTCATGGTTCAATTGTACTCGTAGGTATGCATCATGCATTTATATAGACGACAATCTATTATATAAGTTATATTATTATATAATATAATATTATTCTTAGAAGTTGTTGAGATATGTAACACTTGTAAATTTCCGTAAGTCATGTTTATAAGCGCTGTAAGAACTTTTAGAGGTATTGTTATATACAACTCATTTGTACACTAGTTGTTAGCCGTGATTTGAAATTAGGCTTTACCAGGTTGAAAGATTTTTGACCGACCTCCCGAAGAATAATATATTTCAGTCAATTTACATGAAACCATAGTATATATCTCGGACTTACAACTTAATGAAAATATTAATATATTTTACTTAATGATGCTTAAGTTTCTATTTAGTTTGATTTTTTTGTTGTTTACTTGCGTTTAATATTTTTCCTTGCTAGAGTGAAGTTTAGTGGCGGTTGTTGGTGGGATGTTGAAATAAATGAAACTCTTTGTTTGAAGCTTTTTCTTTAAAATTAGGGGTAGTGGTTGCGACGTTGGATTAACAAAAAATTTGCGTATTTAAGGGTTCTTAAATCTAAGTGACACTTTAATATAATTATATTCGACCTTATTGGACATTACCGGAAACGAGAATGTTATATTACAATTTATGGGTGTGGAAAAAACTAAATGGGCTCTTTTTGGCTTCAAATGTACCATTGCTAACAGTTTTTTCATACGTTATATAACTTTTAATATTATTTGCTATTCAATTATTTCTGTCGTTTTGTTGTGCAAATCAACGAAGTTGGTATAGACGAAACTGTTGTCTCTATTGCGAGAATTTAGTTACGAATTTTATGCGCCATCTAATGGAGAAATCATGGTAATGAAATAGACGTTCTAAAGCTTATGGCTATCATGACCCTGATCCTTAAATTTAAAAAAATGAAAAGGCAAGCTATTACTGATAATTTGAGAAAACGTGGTTATTACATTCGCAATAGCAATGTGGTGTCAAATAATAAGTGATATTTAATTCCGACGAGAAGGAAAGCTAATGAAGAATTAGGTCAAAGCCTACCAGGATTTCTGATCTGTAGAAAATGCCTGGGTACTTACAGAAGGTCAACGTTCTACAGACGTAGCAAGGAGTGTATAGGTAATGAAGATGATATGATTAAACATGCTCTTGCTTAACACGCATTAAGTATTATACCAAAATTTGTTCATGCATCAAAAGAATTTCAACAAAACATACTACCTAGCGTAGTGACGAAATTTCTCATATCTTGAAACATTACATTAAATTATTGCTTTAATGGCAAAAAGAAAGAAAAAGGAGTAGAAAACTAATCTGCTCCAAAATGAGAGACCTTGCCAAACGGACGTTTAGTTCCGGGATTTGTTCTGTTAAAAAATATTTCTATATTATATTTATTAAAACTTAGATAAGAACAAATGCATAAGACTGCATTTAATTATATATTGTGTTATAATATAAGAGAAACAATGGTTTGTTTATTAACCGTTTGTTTTTTTGAAATAGATAAATAATTTTCTTATAATTAATACCACTGCTACAACACTGCGATCGTGCAAAAAAGATTAGCTGTTTCATTATTGATTAAATGATGGATAAATAACAGGGAAATAGCTGAAGTTTTACTCTTTTAAAGTTGATTAGATATTATGAAAAGCCCTTTCGCCTAGCACCTACTTACATAAGATGATTATGATAGACTCTTTGCGAGTTACCCTTTTTATTCTATTGTAAACATCAACACTACAATACTCGATCGACGGCTCATTGGTCTAGTGGTTAGTATCCCTGACTGCGAATCCATGGGTCCCGGGTTCGATCCCCGGCTGAGACATCGATGTGATGAGAATTTGGTGTTGTGCTTAGGTCTTGGGTGTTTAAATATGTATTTATATGTGTTACGTCTATCTATGTATAATATGTATGTATATACGTTGCCTAGTACCCATAACACAAGCTTCACCAGCTTATCACGGGACTAGGTCAATTGGTGTGAATTGTAAAAAAAAAAATTACTTTATTATTTTTCGATCAACATAAAGTTTTTTATTCGAAATCAACAAAATAAACACAAGCACTTTCATGCCTACAAGTGAAGCGACTGAATTCAGTCGCTCCACTCATTTATTGGTACTGCGTCGTCATCGTATGCTGTTCATTATTTCACTCCTTTGTAATTGTTGGATCTTCATTCATTCTAGTTCATTGTGACCGCTGCGTCCTCGCCCGGTGATTCACTATTTGCTGCACTCATCTTCGAGTTCACTCGCTCCATTCCGCTGTGGCTGTTGCACCGTCGTGTGCTATCTCTTCACTTACTCAGTAACGTTGTTACAAAAGGAAAGAGTCCCGGCCAAAAAATAACGAGTAACGAGGTTTGATCTGAAGTCACGTTACTCCAGACTGATTTCTTGTGAATATTCCTCTTTTACGGCAAGATTCTCTAGTACTTTGTGGAGAATTTGAAATAATAGCTAGACATTATTAAGTTACTGTAGCCAGTAATATAGTAGCCCAAACTTACCAATGAGGAAGCGCTTGGCAAATTCTGCGCCCTGATTGGCCCATTTGAATTGGAACAACAACTGCTCATACGCAAAAAAGGTAGATTTGTATAAAAATCCCTTAATTATTGTTATTACTCATCGTGACACTTGTGGCTCCGAACACAGCTACATATTTATGGTCAGCTGGCATTGGATCAACAAAAGACACCCGGATCAACAAGTGAAAATGGATCAACAAATTACTACCTATACGGCACGTCGTAGCCACAAAGTGCCCAAAGGGATGTCTAACTTATAATGCCAATTTATAACAGTTAGACATATGTCACTGACTTGAAGGCATTATCAAGTTCTACAACTTTTCTCTTGAACTAAATTTTATATTTCTCTTTAAGGCAGCGTTCGTAAGACCTTCGTTTGACCGGTCTCTCTTATTTGGTATCCGTGGAACCACGCAAAAGTCCTTTGATATTAGTCTACTATAATTAAAACTGGTAACTTGCTATTGGTAAAAGAATTTTTAAAATCGATTCAGTAGATTACCCCTCACAAGACAAACTGAAACTTTTTATAAATTTATTTATTTCTATCATCACGCCTTTTCCCGAAAGGAAAATCAAAGACCACATGGGAAATAGGGATTCATTTTTCTATATACGAGTGTATAGATTGTGCGTTTTTTGTAATTAATAATGAATTTACTTTATTAATTGTTAAGTCAACAAAAACTCAAAAACCACACAGATCAATATTATGTTAACCAATACCATTTTTTAAATAAAGTTGACCTGGTAATAGATAGTTAAGTAGTTTCTTTGAAAATAAAATATGTGTTATAATTATACCCTTGTAGCTTTGCCAGAAGAAGGAATGGCGGCCATTTTAGTTAAGTGGTATATAGAATAATAAAACAACACTTGGATGATTCGATATTTTATTATAAAATCTAGCATCTGACTAGTTTATTAAAATAAATATATTTAAATAGACTTCTTCGAGTCCTAGGGCCCGAATTCCATGTTATCTCAGTCTTAATTATTGTAAATCTATGTATCTTGAAAAATTTCGAATTTTACACTACACTAGTTGATGACGTCACATTTATGACGTCATCTTAGCAGCGGCGGCGGCGGCGGCAGCAGCGGCCTTCTTCTTAACGGCGAGTGCTGTACGTTGTTTAGCTTTTATCTGCATTTTTTGGCTCTTTGATAACTTTCTCTTCTTCGTCTCAGCCGCTGATGCTAGAAAATATATCCAGGTTATTTTAAAAAAAGTAAAAAATCATTTAATCACATAGGTAACATAATGTACTTTAATGACTTGTCATTAAAGAAATACATATTAATGCTTCTAATTTTACATTTACTGCCAGTTCTCAAATCAAGGGCGTAGAACGGGAGAGAAGAACTGGCAATAAACCATTTTTTTGTTTTACAAAATGTTTGTAAGGAGCTGCAACCATTACACCATGTCCCATGTGACATTTTAAGTAATTAATAATAATAACATAAATTAAAAACAAAGATTTGTCCTCTATCAGCAGAAGGCATGGTGAAATGGAGCACGCACTTACATTCTCGTGGGAACAACACGCAAACACATAGTCGAAATAACCAACATCACCGCATACACGAATTCAAGTACGACCAGTCACCACAAGCAGCACCCGTTCACAAGCATGACGCATGGCCAGCCATTGGTTTCCTTATTCAAAGTGGAGACCTAGCGCGAAATGGATCAGGACACTCGCAATGCCAAGAGTGTGTCTGCCTTTTCTTGAAGTATAGGTACGCTCTTTTCTTGAAGGACCCCACGAATTGGTCCGGAAATACTTCAGTGGGCAACTGTTTCCAGGTATTTTCTGTATATATAACAGGGGGTAAACTGACAGAAGGCTCATCTGATGTTAAGTGATACCGCCATGGACGCTCTCAATGCCGGAGGGTTGGTGCTTTTGAGAATTGGTACGGTCTTTTCTTGAAGGACCCTAAGTCGGATTCAAATTCAAATTCAAAAATCATTTATTCACGTAGGTAACACAATGTACACTTGTGATTCGTCATTAAAGAAATAAGTATTAATGCTTCTAATTTTACATTTACTGCCAGTTCTCAAATCAAGGGCGTAGAACGGAAGAGAAGAACTGGCAATAAACTCTCCGCCACTCTTTTTAATCGCCATGTTTTTTTTTTTTACACAACGTTTGTAAGGAGCTGCAACCATTACACCATGTTCCACATGACATTTTAAGTAATTAATAATAATAACATAAATAAAAACAAACACTTGTCCCCTAGCAGCAGGAGGCATGGTGAAATAGGAGCACGCACTTACATTCTCGTGGGAACAACACGCAAACACATAGTCGAAATAATTAACATCACCACATACACGAATTCAAGTACGACCAGTCACCACAAGTAGCACCCGTTCACGAGTATGACGCATGGCCAGCCATCGGCCCCCTCGCCATATTTTAGGGAGAGAGACAACCCGACGCATGGACGCCGCCACAAGCAATGACATTTAAGCGAGCATGACGATCCTTGAAATGTGGACTTGGCTACATAAGAAAATAATAATAATACTGAAATAATTGGATACTACATGGATCACGGTTTGTTCCCACTTTACATTAAAACAGTCGTGGATGTTGACGATCGCCCCAGAGTCTGGAAATGCAGCCGAGAGATTCAGTCGTGTTACCTATACGTAGTTGGTCCCAAAGTTCTGTCACTAGCACATTATTTCTACATTTCGAGCAGGATTTTATAAAAAAATTATTGCATTCTATTTTGGAATGTTTGATTATTGTTTTAAAACAAAAAACAATAACTTTCCGTAATTTTTCACGATGGAGTGGACATTGAAAGTAAACCGAATAGTTGTTATTGCGTTGCACCGCTGTGGACACTCGCCGAGTACCATTTTCAAGTTGCTCAAAAATTTGAATATAACGCTTAGGTTTGTGTACGGTACTATTGATAGGTACCTTGAAGTCTCCAGTGTTGAGGACAAGAAAAGAACTGGCTGGCCACGCTCCGCAAGAACACCAGCAGTAATCAAAGCTATCAAGGCGCGGATAGTAAGAAATCCTGTCCGAAAACAGAAGTTGATGGATTTGCAGATGGGTGTCAGTAGGAAAACAGTAAAAAAGGTTTTAAATGAAGATCTTGGTCTACGAGCATACAAAAAAGAGTGGGCACTTATTTAATGCTCGTCTAAAAGCAATAAGGCTTAAGAGATCGCGGGTGTTGTTTAAGCGGTACGCGAAAAACCGACACCGTGATATCCTCTTTACGGACGAAAAATTTTTCGATATTGAAGAGAAGTACAATAAACAGAATTATACAGTGTACGCTAAGAGTTCTGAAGAAGCTGAAAATAAAGTTCCAAGGGTGCAACATGGACATCATCCATCATCAGTAATGGTTTGGTTGGGAGTGTCCTATTACGGGCTAACTGAGGTTAATTTTTTCGAAAAGGGGGTCAAAACCAGTGCTACAGTGTACCAAGAGACGGTTTTGTATCGCCTTGTCAAAGACATGTCCAGCACCCTATTTGCGGGACATCACTTCGTGTTCCAGCAGGACTCTGCGTCTGCATACAAAGCCAAGACCACTAAAGCCTGGTTTGAGCGTCAAAACATCGTCTTAATTAGACATGAGGATTGGCCTTCCTCCAGTCCGGACCTTAATCCTTTGGACCAGAAATTATGACAGGGCTTAGAGAGGAAGGTCTGTGATAAACCTCATGAAAATTTGGAGAATCTGAAGTCATCTTTAAAAAACCAGTGACTGAAATCGACACGAATATGGTGCGTGCTGCGATAGACGACTGGCCGCGACGCTTAAGGGACTGTATTAAAAATGAGGGAGGTTATTTCGAATATTTTTATGTTTTTTTTATTCCTTAATTAATGTACTAAGAATTGATATATCACTCATTACAAACTGATCAGTACTTTTGTTTTTATCATTATTTCCATTTATGACAGAACTTTGGGACCGACTACGTAATATATACTGGAGCAACTCATATCCAAGCACTAGGATCGTTTAAATATTCATTTATATTATAATAAGCCTTAGCAAGCAGTTTTACTTTAATGTACGATTTAAATTTATTTATTGACAACGCTTGTATCTCACTAGGGATTTTGTTGAAAAAACGCCTTGGAAAGAATTACTCGTTTTATGCAGCCTTCTGGTTGGTGCGCTAATTTTGTCTTTATTACGAGTACTATAATTATGGAAGCTACTATTCTTTTTAAAGATATCTATATTTTTCCGCACATACAAAATATTCTCATAAATGTATTGACTTGCCAGAGTCAAAATATGTAATTCCTTAAATTTGCTTCGGACCGACTCCCGTGGGGACAACCCACAGATCGCTCTTATAGCCCGCTTTTGCACTACAAATATCGATTTAATGTCAGCTGCATTACCCCACAAAATAACACCATATGACATAATAATTATTACTTCAGAAATACTTTAATAGGCAGCTGGTTCTACATAGCCCGGCAAAAACTGCCTTAAATGACGTTCAGACGTCATGTCAAATACGTTTTTGGCATATGTCTTAGTTCAATCTTTTAAACATAGCTTTGAAATCAAACGAAGAATATGGGTCCATAATTTGTCCTCATTTACATAAGTATGTATTACTCATATATTCACATGTATGGTTGTGCAGGTGTGGACTGTTTTTTCAGCCCTAACAGAATGCCGGAAGAATTGCCCTTACACGGGTCATTGCAATGTATGTTTAATTGTATGATTGAATATAAATAATAAAAATAAATCAGTGGCGCTACAACCTCTTTAGGGCCTCAGATTTCTGAATCTGCTCATGCGCTCATAGAAAGAAAGTCCATTGGTGCACATCCGGGGTTCGAACCTACGACCTCAGTGTTGGCCTAGTTAGTGGCTTCAGCGTGCACATTTAACATTCGCTCGAACGTTGAAGGAAAACATCGTGAGGAAACCGACATGTCTTAGACCCCAAAAGTCGAGCGGCGTGCGTCAGGCACATAAGGCTGATCACCTACTTGCCTATTAGATTAACAAATGATCATGAAACAAATCTGAGGCCCAGACCTAAAAAGGTTGTAGTGCCATTAATTTATTAATTTTTATGACAATTAAGGTAAACATAAATTATACAAAAAAAATTTAAAAAATACAATTAAAATATATACTAGTTAAAATAAAAATACCAGAAATTTTTGTTAAGCACAAAAAGAAATAAAAAATTAAAAAATTACCAGCAAAACAGCGGATTAAGTTCAAGATAGGCACTTAACAATGCTTTCTTTAAAACCGATCAGACCACTACCGAATATAATCAGCTCCGGATAAGTACTGGAAAAACAGTGTGTGTGCTTCCACAAATATTTCAAGATCATAATAAACCAAATCGGTGCAGCCATTCTCGAGTTTTAACGAGAAAAATAAACAGCAATTCTTCTATATACAGCACGAAAGCCTGCTGGCAAAGTCAAAGTCAAAATCATGTATTCATATAGGTATCACAATGTACACTTATGGACGTCCAAAAAGAAATACATATTAAATGCTTCTAAGTTTACATTTAGTGCTAGTTCTCAAATCAAGGGCGTAGAACGGAAGAGAAGAACTGGCAATAAACTCTCCGCCACTCTTTTTAATCGCCAAGTCTTTTGTTTTACACAATGTTGGAAGGAAAATGTGCTGCAAGCATTACACCATGTTCCACTGAGTTATTAATAGTGAATTACTGGACTTAGCAAAGTGCGAAGTGAAGAACCCTGACTGGCCCTAAGGCCGAGAAGGTATAAATGTCGTCATCGCAGTGATAGGTGAAGATTGAAGAAGTCTCTGTTGAACTTACTAGAGGGAAACATATTTTGTTGGTTCGCAGCTGTTCGCGCCAAATCTCCGAGCGTATTCGCCAGCGCCGCTCCTAGTCTTAGACAATCTGAACGCGATGCCGAATGAGCTCTCAACGCTAATGTTGCAAGCCTGAAATATTTATTTACAGCTTATGTATTGCCAAATTTCAACTAAAAATATTATAAATAATACAATTAAGTCATCTCGAGAAAAGTGCTCGACTAGAATACATTTAGTTTTGTCTTTTATTGACATAACTTTTACACATTTAATAAAACAATTTTTTACCGGATTGAAGTTTTGTATTTACAATTTAATCATTTTTATGTGAGTCGGGCACATTTCTCGAGAATTTGTAATATATAATAATAATATAAATTATTATTATTATATTGCAAGAATATGGTACAAAAATGTGTAAGGTGGTACAATCGAAAGTTGGCATATTCTGCCACACAATGGCGCGCAAATTTGTCTTTAGAAGAGACATTTTACATTATTAGTCACATGAATTGGTCAGTTCTTATATTATTTGTATCGTACATATTATATCATACTTTATTTAATTTATATCAACTACAGTGTCTCACGCAAATAATCATTTATTGAATAGTACATTTTTTCCAAAAGTAATACACCAAGTCGCTTTTTAAAAACTCTAGTCGGAAGATCTTTTAATTCTTTTGGTAAATTATTGTAAACCTTAATGGCCATACAAAAAGTGTTTCTCCCAAACAGTTTCAGATTGATTTTTGGCACAGCCAATTTCTCCCCATGTCTAATTCTTTAACTTCGACTTCTACATTCGATTTAAAAATAATATGTATGTTTCTGTGCACGAATAAGAACATTTCTAAATAAATACAGGTAAGACATAAAATTATCATCGAATATTTCAAAATCTAGTTGCCTCGGATGACCTTCAAAATATGGTTATTATTATTAAAGCGATACCTTGCTGCTAAATCCTGGTGATCCGTATCGAGGTCGCAGGAGAAGGTGGTCCCGTTCTTTGTCTTACTCCCCAGCGTCATCTGCAACCAACGGGTCTTTTTCGCAATTATTCTAGTTTTATGAGGCTAAACGCATTATGTAGTGTGGTAGTCTCGGGCGAAAGCGGAGCACAGAGTTTTGACGAGCATGTTACGCTGTGTTTTAAAACACAGCGTAACATGCTCGATGCGTAATACACTCGATGCGAATGCTACATTACACCTCGTAAACTTTGGTCAGTTCCCACCTTTGTTAATTTTCACGTGTAACAAGAGTTTTAGATTTGCCGCCAATTCAAAAAAACAAATGACAAATGAATGCAATATACTACATTAGGTTTTTTTTTTTAAGTTATACTTCTTTCGGCGCGTTATGAAAAATTGATGAGAGTGAAATTTTACGATGCGCGTGCAACTGAGACACAAAGTTGTCAGTGTGATTATAGCGTGCGCGAGCGAGATGGGAATAAGACAATCCACAAGTAAAAAGAAATAGAATATGCGTGAAGTTAGCAGCTATGCCAAGAATGTTGAATGAACATAATGACATTTACCTTTTAAACAAATAAAGGAGTTTTAATTATTTTTCAAAGAAAATTAGCAATGCTTTTTCACAAAGACCGGTGGCTGATGGCAATGGTGATGGGAGTCATGGAAAAGGATGGAGGAGGCCTTTACCCAACAGGGATCCAAACCTTGTACATAAATAATAATACTAACGGTAATTATAAGTAACCATTTTAAATTTAAGCAATTAAGTAGTACTAACAACATTGTAAAACATAAGCAAGTTTTGGAATAAATGGCTTTATTATTATTATTATTATTATTTCACAAAGACCTATTGTTACTTAGTTAAAAGGTTATGAAACATACGTAGTTATTAAATTGAATGAATAATATAATAAAATAATAAATAATAATAATTATTATTATTAATATTAATTAATAATTGAATAATATAATAAATATTAATTAAATTATTAACGTTAAATATTTGTTACTAATTATTTAATATTTAAAAAAAATAAAGAAAGCCAAAGAAGTATAACTTCTTACGCGCGTACATATGTACACGCACCCTTTTTTTTAAATATTATGGGAATAGTTTTCACTTTATGCCCTACATTAGGTTACCAAAGAGTTCTAAAATTGAAATTCAAAAAAGTTTTCATTAGCAATGTTTTTAACTGGCCAGTTCTAAACATTTTCAGTGTTACCCACGTATGAGCGTTAAAGTTAAATATTTTATACATTTTGATCAATAATCATAGTGGAAATATCTCTTATCATTTGTAATAAAAGTGATAATTACCTTATATGGCTGCGGGCATATTCCGAAGAGATACTTCTCTATCGTCTGCTTGAATTCGTCAGCAAATATAAGCGCAGTTGCATCGCTCTGTGAATTCAATTTTATTAAAATTTGGCCACATTCAGTCTTAGAAAGCAGGGATTTCTGATTGATATACGAACTGGAAAACCTAAACCTTTGGATAAACCTGCCTTAGAGAAACAGAAAAACCTTTTTTTTAAATTAATTGCAGACTCTCACCCCTGAGGTCGTATCTCCTAGATATCCCACAATAACAATTTTTTTGTCATTTACTTTTTACGCCAAATAATGGCTAATTTTCGAAGCGTAAAATCGCTTCGTCCATTACAGCATTAATCCTTATCCAATTAAATACCTTAAATACATTGTTGATTTAATATAGATCTATATGGCCCTTTACAGCATATGATTTAAATGAATATTTTCGAAGATATTAGAAATTTAATAATTGCGGGACGCAGCGCGTCGGATGCCGCGGTTCTCCCTATAACTCTATAGCACTTTGAATTTAGTATCAGCATTGCATCCGTGCGAAGCCGGGGTGGGTCGCTAGTTTAGTAATAAAGTAGGTTCAACGCGAAGCGGACGTTTCATTGCACTAAAATAATTATACTTAATAGTTAACTAGTCAGAAAGCAACCTTATCGCCTCAACACATATAAATTATGTGTCATAGTAATCTCAATTTTAAGTTTATTTCACAATTGGCATCACGCCAAATGTATAATATTGAGTGCGAGCAATGCACTTCACTTACTGCAGTTTCAATGTTACGCTATAAAGTTTATATTAGGCGCCAACCATAAACCCTTTGAGTGAATGTATATATGATATATATATATAGTATAGTATTATTAAAGTATAGTAACAGCGTGATATACTGTAAATAGCATTGTGTATGATGCAGTGAAATTTAATAAATAAAAAATTGCGTGCGTACAAAGTACACAATGTCAGAAGTGAAACTTTGGCAAACTAATTTTTAAGTCTTGTTCATATTTATACAAATCTAAAACTTTAGATTTCCGAGACTTAGGGATTTAATGAATTTGTCATTAAAATAATAAGTGTCCAAAATTATTATAAATGTATTTATTTATAATAAAACACTTGGCATTTTAATTTACAATTCGTCATTTGAGATCTCAATAAATTATTTTGTATAATATATAAAATACTAATATTTCATAAATTCTCTTTACAAAATCTTAAAAATATAATTTCTATAAAGTAATTCGCCCTTCACACTCTCACAATCGGTCTCAATCGCTCTCTCCCTTTTATGTCGACAAAAACGCTGCACGTCTTCGTGACGCTAATATTGTCATTATTGCGTTTCATCCGTAAACATTTTGCCCTCATGCGCCCATGAAGTTTCACTACAATAAATAAATTATTAAACAACAATGTCCTACATTTCGTATGCAATGTCCCTGAAAATATCAAAAATAAGCAATCTGCGTCACTTGGCACGACTAGATCGAAATTATTGTGATTTATAATATTTCTCAACAAAATCATAAGCGATTGTCGTTTGGCACGCTTTGATAGGGTAGCGGTAGCAAAAAAAGGTTTTAGTGTTTTTCTATTGTTAATTAGTAGTGACTTAATGTATTTAATTAATTCTAGTTAAATCTTTCCTAATTTTAATATTTTCTGTGTTCATAGATAGGAGTGCAAACAGTTAATCTTTACATACATATGACTTTATATAGCCTTTATATACCAAATTATATAATGTTTGAATCGTAAAATCATTTTTATATGAAGTGCTTAAATGTAGCATATCCTACGGGTACTTCTGATATTTCCGTTTCTCTTTTTAGTTTTAATTTCACTGACAAAACTCTATGGCACGCTAGACAATCTACTTTTATTTTTTACACCTGTCAACACTGACAATGTTGTAACGTGGCTGTCAAAACGTTAATTCAAAATAGAAAAGTCTGTGTAATGTATTCCATCTCATTCTTTTACACGTTCAATCCATTTGTCTCTTTCTACATAACGCCTCAACTTTTCGTGTTACACATAACGCCTCAACTTTTCGTGTTACACTTGATTTTACTCCTCATTACATTTCCGTACCAGGCCTTATAACTCAAATCGTTTCTTAAGGAGTAAACTCCAAAAATTCAAACAAAAATTATTATCAAAATTTTTATGCAGTTAGTACAAAATTTTGTGATTCGTTGATTTTTTTGTCACACAGAAGTGCGTTAATTTATGGCTGAACATAAAAGTACGCCCAATTCTTTGATAAATTAAAAAGAATAGCTTCCATTTTATATTTAGCTTTTTCTACTAAAGCTTTAGTAACTATCATTGTTACAACCCGGAGCTTCAATTTTGGCTACGAAATACTTAAGATGAAAGAAATCCTTCAGCTTTGATTTTGTTCCCTTTGCCCCACGGCCCAAGGCACCTGATGATTTAAGGCGCCTGGTGTGACCGGTGACCCCAGAGCTGGTTCTTTACACGCTTAACAAATATCGCAATACAGCGAGGAGATACTGCTATTGTGTACCACAGGGACCAAGAATTAGATTAAAGACATGAAATATAACTATTACAAATGTGTTTAATTAAGATTTTCATAGTTATCTATACTAATATTATTATTAATATTATTATAATTATTTTTATTATTACTTTATAGGTTAAGAACATTGTAAATACTGTATTTGTGTAAATAAAATTATATTATTACGTAAAGAGGATTTTTTTGTATGTATGTTTGTAACGAATTGGCTCAAATGTACTGGACGGATTTTAAAAATTGTTTCTACATTTTAATGCTACATTATCACTGATAAAAATAGGCTATTATAATTGCAAGAAAAAATAAGGATCCCTACTAAAACTACAATAATCGTACCCAAGGTGTAAAAAATGCCTATAAAATATCTTTCATCGCATGCGCTGCGAAAACTATTGATGATAGAATTAAAAAGTGTTCCACAATATTAAAGAACATATCAATATCTACAAAATTAAAAAAAATGGCCATCCGAGCGAAGCCGGGACTGGCCGCTAGTACGTTATAAGCACAGTTTAGTTCGGTGACGTTTGTTGGAGTGATATTAAAATTAATAAAACATTTTATACGAAGCCAAGTATCAACTCTATTTAATATTTTTTTTAATGGAATCTCATTGTTGGCCCATGGCATGTATTTGCGTGTTGTTCCCACGAGAATGTAAGTGCGTGCTCCTATTTCACCATGCCTCTTGCTGATAGAGGACAACTCTTTGTTTTTAATTTATGTTATTATTATTAATTACTTAAGATGTCATGTGGAACATGGTGTACCTAATGGTTGCAGCTCCTTACAAACGTTGTGTAAAACTACCTAGGCGATTAAAAAGAGTGGCGGAGAGTTTATTGCCAGTTCTTCTCTTCCGTTTTACGCCCTTGATCTGATAACTGGCAGTAAATGTAAAATAAGAAGCATTTCATACATATTTCTTTTTTGACGTTCATATGTGTACATTGAATGTTAAAATGTTACCTATATGAATAAATGATTTTTGGCTCTTAATGCTTTTAGCAGCTCGGGCTGCTCATTAGAGCGTAGGACCGGAATGGGCTTTTCCCGCGACCAGCGCAAGGGCGTCTCCTGCAAGACTCGGACCTCGGCTTGGGCCGTCGCTTCAAGCACCTGAAGGGCAGGACGGAAGCACAGTGAAGGAGCGACATACGTAGTCATAAAATAGACCTCCCTTGCCCTGTTGAAGCCAGTTTTTTACTTTAACCTAATTTTGATTTTTAGTTTAAAACAAGAGCTTATAACTAACATAAAGTTAAGGTTAAGTTGCGACGCTTAACAAACAAAAAACTGTACTTTTTTTAAATCACTACTGAGACATCATTATGATCTAGATTCTAGCCTAACTACGAGTAATAATTTTAGTTTAATTTCTTCTCTCTTCCCCTGAGCTTCTGTTTCGTAATCGTTAGATTATTTGGATGTAGCTCGTAGAACATGACGATCATAAGATCCCATAAAGATTTAAGACTAAATCGCATATGCTGCGGAAACTATTGACAATAGAGCAAAGTGATGTACTACAGTTTTATAGAAGACATCAATTCTTTTTGCATTTAAGTCTAGGTATTTTACCGAGAAAAGCTGTGAGGCTCCACTGTTTATTATTTGCTGCCAATAATAATAAACCAGTGGTGCTACAACCTTAAATGGATCTTGGTCTCAGATTGCATCCGATTCTTTGATTTTTTTTTCCATAAGTGATCAGCCTTCTGACAAATGCCGTCGCTTCTTGGGTTTGAGACGTGCATTTCCTCACGAAGTTTCCTTCACCGTTCGAGCGAGTGTTACATGCACAAATAGATAGAAAGTTTATTAGAGCTTGGCCGGGGATCGAACCCATGACCTCAGGGATGACAGTCGCACGCTGAAGCCACTAGGCAAATACTAATTTATTTAAAACTACAATTAGTAATTTTAAAATATAGTCGTTACACCAACAAAAATTAATGTTATTTATTCATTTTAATATACTATTTAATGGATATTTAATTAAAAAAAACTAAAATATTGTTTATGTACAGAATAGCATATAGTATAAGATCCCGCTATACAACGACCTTCACCGAGATGCTTATTTAATGAAACGTATTTTATATTAAATTTAATATGTCAATAAATATAATCCATATGGGTTGTCTAGCAAATTTCAGTCCAGAGTATGTTTAATTAATAATTAAAAAAAATATTTTTTTTAAACATTTCACCGGTATGATTATTAGATAAATTCTATACCAATCGAAAGTATGAAGCCCATAGAATATGCAAACTTTATGCTGCCCATTCTTTTCCGGTCACAACTATCGGGTTGCCTGGTATAAACAGGTAAATCTGTACTAGCATTTTGCAACGGTCTGTTTATTGAATGAAATTTAAATGAAATTAAAGATTATTTTATTCTGAACACGGTGGTATAGGGTTGTCTGCGAAAAATCAGTCCAGAATTGCGGTTGTCGAATTTTAAAAAGTAAAATATTGCTCCAAGTGAATGTGTGCGACTGAGAGGTCCCAACCGACCATCCCATGCGATAGAAGAGGACACAGCATAGCAGCTGTTTAAAGTCCGCCCACTTAAATAATGAGAGTGCGCATGCTATTTGGGCTTGGAAAAGCAAAGGACAGCGATGGACTCGTATAATTATGCATACATTTTGGAGTATTTTATTATTTAAATAGAGAAATAGTTATTGAATTTTTAATGAATCAATTAATTATTTAAGTGTATATTTTTTATGTGACACTAAAGTATATATACATCTTTAGTTAAAAAGAAGGTTGTAGTGATTCATATATAATAATACCCTGATTAAAAATATTGATTGAAAAAAATTAAAAAATTTACCTACTACATGCAAATTATAAATCTATAAATGTAAACAGAGAAATTGAAATCAATTGAAACTATTGGAAAAAATTCAAAACCCATAAAAGTGTTTTTTTTTTAATCAGGGTAATTTTGCAAATTTTATTTTTATTATAAGAAGACAAAATAAAAAAAGGATGCGTGTACTTATGTAGGTACGCGCGTAAGAAGTTAAACTTCTTTGGCTTTCTTTATTTTTTTAAAATACTAAATAATTAATAACAAATATTTAACGTTAATAATATTTAATATTTAGTATATTATTCAATTATTAATTAATATTAATAATTATTTATTATTTTATTATATTATTCATTCAATTTAATAACTACGTATGTTTCATAACCTTTTAACTAAGTAACAATAGGGCTTTGTGAAAAAGCATTCCTAAATTTATTTGAAAAAATAATTAAAACTCCTTTATTTGTTTAAAAGGTAAATGTCATTATGGTCATTCAAAATTCTTAGCATAGCTGCTAACTTCACGCATATTCTATTTCTTTCTACTTGTAGATTGTCTTATTTCCATCTCGCTCGCGCACGCTCAGCGCCCATACTGATAATTTAGTGTCACGGTGCGCGCGCATCGTAAAATTTCACTCTCATAATTTTTTCATAACGCGCCTAAAGAAGTATAACTTCAAAAACAACAATTAAAAAATTACTTCTATTTATTGTAAAAAATTAAAAATACAATTTTTTTTTAATTATTCAGAATCCGAGTCATAGGACATAAAACTACGATCTTCAACTTCTGAATCTTCTTCGTCATCACTTTCTGTTTCACTTTTTTCGACAATGTCTTTAAAGGTGTATGATCCCCAATAAATCCTACTGGTTTTAAATATTCATCTAAGAACCGCCCGCAGTTCTCAGGCTCAAATTTCACGCATATTGGATCGGTTGCATTAAGCTACATGGAATTTACGAAAATAAAATATAAAATATATATTTCAATATATATATATATTATATTTTAATATAGAAATATAGAAGATGTATTAGCTAAGATAATTTTAAATCATAATAATTTTAGCAATATTTTACTTTTTAAAATTCGACAACCGCAATTCTGGACTGATTTTTCGCAGACAACCCTATACCACCGTGTTCAGAATAAAATAATCTTTAATTACATTTAAATTTCATTCAATAAACAGACCGTTGCAAAACGCTAGTACAGATTTACCTGTTTATACCAGGCAACCCGATAGTTGTGACCGGAAAAGAATGGGCAGCATAAAGTTTGCATATTCTATGGGCTTCATACTTTCGATTGGTATAGAATTTATCTAATAATCATACCGGTGAAATGTTTAAAAAAATATTTTTTTTAAATTATTAATTAAACATACTCTGGACTGAAATTTGCTAGACAACCCATATGGATTATATTTATTGACATATTAAATTTAATATAAAATACGTTTCATTAAATAAGCATCTCGGTGAAGGTCGTTGTATAGCGGGATCTTAGACCAATAGATAATATTAATTAAAGACAAAAAATACCTTCACATGACCGCGAATATCCTGCCGCTCTTCAGAACTCTTTCCCTGTATTCCCAAGCACAAAACTATCAAAAGTAATACTTGTAATTTTAAATTCATTTTGAATACACTAAAACCTTATTACATAAAATCGCGCTTAACGTCCAATACAGGTTATAAAAGTATTTTTTATCTATGTCAAAAAGGCGGGAAAACGTAAACGAGACGTCAAATTCGTGATGGCCGCCTCCAGGCAACTGGAGGCATAGACAGCAAGACGCGTTTATTTTTAGATTTTATTGAAAGCGCAATTATTAACAGTTCACGATCGCTTACTCATTTCGTAATATACAAAATAACATTTGCGCGTCAATCGCATGTTTATTATTAAACGAATTAACAATGTCACCGTAAATGATTACAAAAAAAACGCTGGAATATTATATAATAGTAAAGTTATAACACAATTTAAATACAAGATAATCTTATAAAATAAAAATATACTAAAACAAATTTGGTCGGGCCTTCTGGCAGAGTTTTGCGTGCTATGTTTCTCTGTTTTGAAGATTACTATATGATATACTGTTTAATGTCCTGTAATTAGATGACAATATAAATCTTTAATAAGCGACCGTGTATGTAGGGGTAATTCAAATTTTAGTGCAAACTTCTTACGTAAGACCAAATCCGATACGTTTTTGGACTGTAGCGCTATTAACTGCCCTGCGATTCTGTAACTCATTTTTCGAACTCACACAGCGGTTTTCGCATTGGCGGTCGCTCTCAAATCAGTCGTGAAGCAGTCATTTTATGATTTGGCATTCTGAAAAGGTGGGAGCTTGTAGTTTATTGTTTTTCAGAATGCCAACCGCTGTGTGAGTTCGAAAAATGAGTGACAGAATCGCAAGGCTGGGCAGAAAAGTTCGTAGGCAAAAAAAAGAAAAAATGTTTTCTATATTCAACTTGATTTGATTATTCAATATAGTTGTATTTTTACAGTATTTGTATTTAGCCTCAAAAAAGGCTTCAGTTTCGGTGATTACCTCTTTATTTGTTTTTTTTTCAGAAACAACTATTTATCAATAAATTTTATTTGCAGTGAAACAATTATTAATTAGTGTCTATTGTCTTTTTAATTACTCTTTTTAATTATTGATTTTTATTTAGATCAATACTAAGGTACAATAAATATATATACCTATATATATAGCCATCTACTGCCTTTTTGGGCGTCCCATAAGCTTGTTATTATAAAAAAAATTAATAATCTGTAAACAGTTTAATAATCTGTTTATTTTCACAGATTCTGTGTTACCTTTGTAAATATTAATTATTACTGATGACTGATGAGAATAAAAACCGTAAAATATTTTTTTTTTTTACTATTCCCCTTCCCGTAAACATTTTAGTCCAAATGCTATTTCTCTCGCAAATAAAGTATGATTTTACGTGCGATATTTACTCAACGCTTTGAACTTTAACACGTGCGTTCTCTCGCTTTGTATTTATCTTCCAATACCTATTAAAGGATCGACGCTCATTAAAACTGGTATTAAGACAGACCTACCAGTCATATAAACAGGTTTTTGAAGTTATACTTCTTACTTCTTGATCTACAGGCTGAATATCTTTCAGGCCGCTAGTTAAAATGCGCTGTTTGGTTAAGAGGCAAGGCAAGGCAAGGCTTCGATTGAACGGCTAATTAAGCTAGTTTACTGCGACATGACCACCAATTGAACACGATTATGCAGATATGCAGTTAACCATTGGGAAAGATTTCCTTTAATGCCATTGAATGACACATTGTGTGTCAACGCGTATATACTTATAACAAAACCAAATGTGTGTGGCCAAACGTTGGTACTTGGTAGAATTTAACAATCAAGTTCAAACTGGCAGGAGGCTCATCTGATGGTAAGTGATACCGCCGCCCATGGACACTCTCAATGCCAGAAGGCTCGCGAGTGCGTAGCCGGCCTTTTAGGAATTGGTACGCTCTTTTCTTGAAGGACCCTAAGTCGAATTGGTTCGGAAATACTTCAGTGGGCAGCTGGTTCCACATAGTGGTGGTGCGCGACAAAAACTGCCTGCAAACTGCCAAATATTCATGTCCCCAACGTAAGTAGGAATCTGTGTCAGTGGAAGCCACTCCTTAAACTTCTAAATATAATTCTTTTCAACAAATCGGCAGCGGGGCAATTAAACCGTCGAACGTGTTTACAAACTGTGCGCTCGTTAACATTGATTAATGCTTTCCATTTCTCGACAGGCATCGCAAATGTCGAACGTCAATTTTGACGTATAACTTTTGGCGGGAATTTTTTTTTGTGATGTCTTGTATTCGGAAAAACATTTGAATTGACCATAGATTAAATCAGAGGCTCAGTAGTGATGAAAACAATAAATTTGTAATCATTACACCATAATTTAATAGACTATGAGTAGTTACTCAAAGAAAAAAAAAATATGAATTGCAATAAAAAATATTTAGTTTTTATTGCAATTCATATTTATTTAAACAGCTAAGGCTACAATTATATTATAAACTAACTGCGTTTCGCCTTAATATGTTTTTATTTCGCCTACCTTTTTAGTAGCTACATACCAACACATGGAAAACTTTGCTATGCTACCTCTTAGAGACTGTTCCTGACTCCTTTCCGTAATAAAAACATAAGTACTAAATAAAACTAAATTTTCCAATTTTATTCTCCATAAAAAACCTTCTTAAGAGTTTAAGGAATAAATAAAAAACCCCAATTGGTCAAGCCGTCTTCGAGTTTTGATAGGAACATATTTTGCGATTTTTATTTATATAGATTACATAAAATAAGTATATATAAATATACTCAGTATATAGACTCATCCCTGAGGTCGTAGGTTCGATCCTCGGCTTTGCACCAATGGAGTTTCTGTCTATGTGCGCATTTAACATTCAGTAGAACGGTGAAGGAAAACATCGTGAGGAAACCGGCTTGCCTTAGACCCTGAAAGTCGACGGCTTGTGCCAGGCACAGGAGGCTGATCACGTACTTGCCTATTAGATTAACAAATGATCATGAAACAGATACGGAAATCTGAGGCCCAGACCTAAAAATGTAGCGCCATTGATTTTTTTTATATAAAAATATAGAAATGACGATTATAATAAATTGATGAAATAAGAATATTATAAATACGATTTTTTTTGTCTCTTCTCATAAGTCATAACAGCGTAAACAACATTTGACAGAAATAAACGAGAGTACTTTAGACGGTTTTATTTTAAATAAGGAGAATCTAATTATACAAATTTATATCAGATTTAAGTTGGCGCCTGGTAGATAGTACCAGTGACCCCAGAGCTGGTGCTTTCCTCAACGAATAAGTATCGCAATACAGCAAGGAAATGATGTCAGCTTTAAAGGTACACTGCCACAGGGACCAAGCTTTTTAAATGTTTTAATTTTCATATTATTATTGAAGTGAAACTTCTTTAGGCACATGATGGTAGATTTTTACGGATGAAACGCAATAATAATAATATTAGCGTCACGAAGATGTGCAGCGTTTTTGTCGAAGAAAAGGGCGAGAGCGATTGAGACCGATTGAGAGAGAGTGAGAAGGGCAAATAACCTTATAGCAATTATATTTTTAAAATTAAAGTTTCGTAAAGAGAATCTATGAAATATTAGTATTTTATATTTTATGCAAAATAATTTATTGAAATCTCAAATGACGAATTGTGAATTAAAATGCCACATGTCATTATCGGAGAAATAAATTAAATTTATTATTTGTATTAATTTTCGACACTTTTAATATTTTAATGACAATTAAATTCAAAAAATACCTAACATATCTTTCTTTTTCCCTCCCTGTAAGTCTCGGAAATGTAAAGTTTTAGATTTTTATAAATATGAACAAGACTTAATAATTTGTTTGCCAAAGAAGTTTCACTTGTGACATGTGTATTGTGTAGTGTGTACTTTGTACGCACGCACTTTTATCATCTTTATTATTACTATGTACCTTAAGAACTTTCTAAATACTGTGTATTTGATTATGTAGGTTTTAATAAACGATTACAATTTTGTCAATATTAGTTAAATTGTATTTTTAATCCAGCTTGTTTCAATATAAATAGCGAATATCGTAAAATCTAAAATGGCCGCCGTAAACATTCCGAAATTACTGTGCGGTTTTATCGATATTTCTTTGCTGGCGCTATAAAATTAGTTAAACATTATTGGGAAGTCGTGGGTTCCATATAATTAATAGTTAAATATAACTGATAAGTTTTTTCCAGCTGCGTTGCGTGTATAAGTCCAGAAAGTACTTGATAATGCTATGCCAGATCAATCTCATTGCCAACCCTGCCTACAGCAGTTCTTGTATATAGTAATTAGAGACATAATTTGCCTGGGTTTCGTGAAATCAAAGTTTTAAGTAAAAGACCCAACGCTAAAATTAAAACATTCTCTATACGAAATTCCATCCTTCCAGTGGTTTTCGATGCCGTAGAAATGCAAACTTATCGAGGATAAAAGCCTTCGATCTGTAGTGCGACACCACTTTGTGGAACCAGCAGCTCAAGGTTTCTATAAAAACTGTCTGTCAAGAAAATAGCGTAGGTACGGTTTCTTTAAAGGTCGGCGATTAACCTAAATTAAATTTGTTTTTTTTGAAGATATACTACTTAGGCGCGTTATGAAAAATTGATGAGAGTGAAATTTTACGATGCGCGCGCACCGTGACACAAAATTAACAGAATGAAGTTGCCCACGGAAGATGCTACGGCATTGGACTTAATTTAAAAACAACATTCGAATAATAATAGAATTTATGTTACACTTAATGTAAGAGAATAATAAGAAATATTTATTTATTTAATTTTTCAAATGTAAACTGAACTTTATTGACTATAATGACTCCTTTTCCAGTCTTTGATTATTTAATTGTAATTAATTATTTGCATGCAATCAAAAACTATTTTTAATAATGTCAAAGAAGTATAACTTCTAACGCGTGTACGTAAGTACACACACTCTATTTTTTTATCTCTTTCTGTCATTCTGTTTACGCTGTCATTAAAAAAGACATATGTATGTAATAACGATTACATTGATTTAAATATGAAT